GTCGAATCGTCCCAGAACTGTTGATGAGGCCTGTTCCCCCAGTGCGGCAGCGAGAACGCTTCAGCACCTTAAAGTTGGAAGAGGCCTCGCTATGGCCCGGGAATTTGTTGCAGGGAAAGCTCATTTCGGTGGGTGAATCTACTGTTTGTTGGAGTTCCACCGGCATTTTGTAAAGTTCAGTCCCTAGAATTGATGATAACAATCTTTTAACAATCATGTTTTGTTGCCAAAATCTAAAGTTATCCTCCCGGTACAAAGTGGATTCTGAAGGTAAAGAAGATGCCAATACCAAACATGTGATGATCTTCATGGTCACTGACAGTGTGAGTTTTTTCAACTCTGCCATACCTAAACCATCCTTCCAAATGACATTTCAAAATAAAAAAGGCCCCCAATCTGTGTGTTTTTTTGAGCCAAGTATCGCATCCTCACGAGGCTTTTGCAAAGCTGGCAGACTTTGGGAACGGCATCAAGGTGATCGGCTAAGCCAAGCCTCACCGCCCCCAACTTCTTTCACCGTTTTTTTTTTTTTCCGGGATAGTGGGCGATTTTTTACAACAGATATACGTTGTACATAGAATACCCTTTACGAAAAAACCGAGCAGAATCCCCATCCTTGATCCGGTGTTGATGTTTTTTGATTCACGATTTGGGTATCTCCTAAAATGGTGGGTGCTGCCCATGGGTTCATTTGGGCTATTTATTGGGGGTAGCCGTAGCCATTTTAGGAAACACGGCCAACAAAACACAGCACTGCCTTGACATTTTGGCTCCAAAAAGTCCAGTTACAAAAACGTCACTTCCCGTCGAGCAAAACTGGCGCCTTGTTTGCACTTGGATCCAGCATGGCCGAGCGAAACCATCGATTCACAGAGAGCCATATCATCTATGGCGAATTAGGATACCCTCTGGTAATTTAACATATAGCTATAGAAAATCATCATGCTATTAATAGGTAAACCATCTATTTCGATTAGGGCCATTTTCTATAGCTTTTTGTGTTAGTTTACCAGAGGGTAAGTCATAACCCAGATCTATCCTTCTCTCTTAACATCTTTGAATCCACCGCAGGATTTTCATCCTAAGGAGGCAATGGAGCTTGCGATGGCCCCAACCGAGGCCCGACGATGGAGCAAGGTTTTCGGCAGAGACCTCTATCTTAAGAGGGGAAACATATGGAAACATGATGAAAAAATGATGATAAACCAATGAAATTTGGGGATACTCACTTTGAGTCTAGCCTATATTCATCCCATTCTCAGACAAAACCAAGTATTGAAGATTCAGCTGTTGAAAACTGGTGCAACCCTATGGAGTGAGCATCCCCCTGCACACAGAAGGATTCTGTTGAAAGCTTCCGTGCTTGCGCTCGTTTCAGAATCCGGCGTGTCAGGGCTTGGAACAAATGCCCATGCATGTGCCAATCGGAAATTTGGGCCAACAAGTGCTGGAAGCTGAGTGCAGCCTGGAAGTTGTTCCAAGCTGATTTGTCGTCCAAAAAAGGATCGAAAAGGAACATCCTATAAAAATGATCAAAATATGGATAGGTTACTTTCAATCTTTTTTGGGGTTCTATAACCATGGTTGACCGCTGAACCCCCCTTTGTTGCAGACTTTTGTTGAAATTGAGGTCAATGCAGCCGCTGAGCCAGCAGCAGCAGCAACTCTTGCAGCAGATCAACCAGAAGACGAATCAGCAACATCTCCAGAGTCTTGGGACTTCGATCTGACACCGAAAAGATTTCGGGCACCGTATATCTGTAGGTCATCTAAAGGATATTCTGGGGATCAGTCACTATCAAGTGACCATCAATTCATGGGTTTTTTATCTTGGGGATCTTGGGGATATTGACTAGGTCAATCTGAATAATGGGTACAAACTAATCCTCACTGGTCTTGCAGGGTATCTGGCTGGGAATATCCACGTTCACCAGCAAAGAATTTGTCATTTTTTGCAGGGTATCTCAACGCGAACTCACAGTGGCAGGATGGAGATGGAGAAATCTTAAGTTCATTTCAGTATGAAATGCATGAAATCACCTGTTCCCATGTGAATCAGTGAAAATTGTGGAGGAACGTTACCCCATATTCTCCTGGTTAGCTACAATTTGTGAAGCGCAATTTTTCGGGTGAGTGAAATCACCCTTAAATCTCAGTTGGCGTGAGTTGAGTTACATCAGTTCCATCCCATTTTCTTCAGTGAGTTACTGCTTGGTGGTTTCAAACATGTTATTTATTTTCCATATATTTTCCATAAATCATCAAAAATATGGGATGTCATCCGAAACCCAGCTGCCTTTCACTCCATTTTTCAAGATGGGCACAGCCAGCACCAGGTCCGGTGAAGTCCCCACGGAACAGTGCCCCGTTCGGCCCAGGACTCTTTTGCTGCAGCAAGCACTGCAGGGGACGCCTCAACAGTCCCCGCAAGCACAGGTGCTGGAAGCTGGGGAGATTTATTAACCATCATTTCTTGTGGTGAGCATGAGTTTGTTAAAAAAAAGCGTGGTTACTTTTATGGAAATCATGAAGATTCTTGATGTGTCTTGATGTGTCTTAAGTATGTCTTCCTCTTTTTTTCCGGTTTACACTGTTTACGCTTTCCCAACTAAACCAACCCATTGATTAAAACGTAGATTCTGAGTATGAGATCATCTGCAATTTGTTGAATTAAATGCAGGTCGTTCTCCAAACAACAAACGTTCCCATATATACTGTATTATACTGTACTATTATTTTGATTACTATTATGATTATTGCTGTTATTACTTACTAGTACTATTACTATTGATAATATGTATATATAATTATATATATAATTATAGATTATATCATAACCATAATATATATATAATCTATCATATATATAATATTATATTATACACATCCATAGCATCATTTGTCCATCCCTGAGATTATTCACCATCTGGGCATCGCCAGGCCCAACTGCCTAATCTCCTGACCGGTCGGATGCTGGATCCTACTGGCTCTCTGCCAACCAAGGCGAAACGAGGGTAGAATGGGAGCTTTCTATCAAGGTGATGGGCAGAACTCACGTATCATTTATCTTGCTTCATGTTCTTCTATGTAGCTTGAATATGCTCTAATTGTTTTAATGTCAATCCCATTGAGATTATCTGCAATAAAGCCTAATCAACCCCAAATCAACCCTAGTGAACCTCTAGTTACAATCCAACTTACCCAGGGGACCCTTCCTGATAGTGGCCGTGTTAGGGCCTGGTCCAATCCGGGGGAAGACGATGGTCAACCGGTCAACCATGGGAATTGATGGAGATACTGAAGATACTGGTCAAAGAACTATAGTAACTATACCTATTGACCATATAGTACCATCAATGGGGTAGTATTTGGTAATGTTGTACCAGAATGTAGCAGATATTTATTATATCCTATTCATAACCATATTTGTGTTCCATATATTGTTCCATCCCATTGATCGTAAAAGCGGCGAGACCGGGGCGATGCCTGGTGTGGCTCTCCCGGGTGGTGCAGTGCCAGCTTTTTACCCGTGGACACTCAGCAGCAGATCCCATGGACTTTCGCTGATGTGCCTGGAGTTTGATGTGGGTAAAACAATAGCCATAAGTGGGTATGGATCAATACCTATTAATGCCATTTTTAGGGGAATGAACATCCATTTACCAGCTATTTTGATGTTCACGAGGGGTACCAGGGTTTTGACACACTGCCAAGTAACAATCTTATATAACAGGAAAAATGATGGGTGGTTGATGGGTATATGATACCCTGACTCATGGGTGTATATATATATATATAGCTGGTTGGTGGTTTGGAACATGAATTTTATGACTTTCCATATATTGGGGATAGTCATCCCAACTGACTTTCATATTTTTCAGAGGGGTAGGTCAACCACCAACTAGTAAACTAGTAAACCACCCATTTGGGATACCACCTAAAAAATGGTGATGACTGGGGGAAGTTTATGATTGTTTTACCCACATTACTTTGCGTTTGTTTTTTGCGGGAAAGTGGACATCAAACCATTGATGTACAAATTACATCAAACTAATTACTCTTTTTCGCTGGAAGGTGGACATGAAACCCCGAATGGATCCGAATGGTTTGTTTGGATGCTTCTGGCCTTTTGAATCATGATCGATTGCGAAGCCCCAACGCCAGACTGAAGCCACAGTGAAAACCAAAAGACCGAGGATTTACCCTTTGGATCCCAGCATGGTTGGAGGTGGCGTTCTGTATTCCCGCCATGTTTCGCCACGATAAAAGTGACGGTGGGTGCAAACAAGAACTGGTGTTTTGGATTGTTCATACTATTTCTTCTAGAGGAATCCAAAATAATCCAAGTTTGGGATAACTATATATGTATAACGGATTATCCTCTATAATCATATGTATAATAATCATGGATAAGTATGAATAACTATCCACAACAGCTCTGTTTCAAGATGTTTCAAGCAACATCCCAAGCGCTCCGTCGACGCCAGACCGGGTGCGTGGGGAGTGGTGAACATGCAGGGCTCAGGCGCGAGGAATTTCCCAGACGTTTCGACCCAGCATTTTCCATGGTTTTTTGTTAATGATATTTTCGGGATCTGTACGTCTCACTTGGTTTTTTCCACTGCAGATCATGTTTAGTTTTATGTACCCTGAAGTTCCAAAGACAATTTTAAGCATGGCTTTTCGGGATGATGATCCAAAATTGATGCATTTTCCATGCTATTTTTGGGATGCTGAGCCCCAACGGACTAGGTTGGACTAGGTTGATGGGTGAAATCAGCACGCAGCATGATTTGTCACAGCTTTGGCTTGAGTCGGCTTGAGAAAACTGTCCAATTCATATCATTCAGGCTATGGTCATAGTTATAGATATAATCGAGGTAACATTAAGATTTTATATTTTTTGATGATGCATTTGGATCTATGTTTGGGATTGTTTGTGTATTTTGGGTGGCTTGACCCCATATTTTTCCTTTACGTTTCTTCACTTCGCTGGCCCGATGGCTTCAAAGCCATGGATTGCGCTGAAATCTCTGGCGCTGTGGGCTCTACTGCTGAGGCCGGGTCCGACTGGACCGATGGGGCCGATTGGGCCGATTGGGGGCGGGTTTTCCAATACAACATCCACTTGGGAAATCGATTCAGTGAATATATGATCTTGGGAAATTATGGGAATATTATTCTGTTGTGAATTTTAGTTGCCGATTCCTTCGGAAAATCCAAATTGAAAAAAAACACTCCGTTGAATCACCAAACAAATCTCGCTAATCCACGGATTCCCTTGGAAGATCGCAACTCCCAGTTGGTGGTTTCCCAAAAGATAGCTGCCCGAAACCATATGTTTCTTTTCCCATTGATCATTACCAATAACTTGGATGATACCCTCTGGTAAACATACAAAAGGCTATTGAACATGGCCCAGTCGAAACAGTGGATTTACCCATGAAAGATGGTGTTGATTTTCCATCGTTTTTTGTTTACCAGGCCGGGTAACTTGGGGCGTTTTCCCCATGTCTTCGGGTCAAACCTGCCACGTTGAATCCCCGAGGCCCTCGTTTCTGAGCCCCTCGTTGCCTCAACGGCAACGACCCGTGCGGGCGCGACCCGTGCGGGCGCTGGAGGAGCCCAGCGAGGTGGAGCTGCCCTGGTGGATGGGCTGCATGCACTGGATATGGATGGTCTATTTCCATGGGAAAACCCAATCTAAAATGGATGATTCATGATGATTCAAATGAGGGGCTAGCCATTTTGGGAAACCTCCTACCACCTTAGGCTATGGATTCTTGTGAGCCATAGGGAAAGCTATGAACCACAGAATAGGGAGATGGGATATGTATTTTTGAATGGCTCTGGGGCAGTGACGGATTTGGGCCACCCCAAAATGGCACTTTTTGGTAAGGAAAAGGATGATCAGCAATTGGATTCGTTGGTTTTTCTTGGCCCACTCACATACTCAGTAAATGATGATTTGACCCTTTGGTAGTCAAATATCTGTGGTAAAGTCATCCAAACATGTTTGTTCTTTCAACAAAATTGGGACGTTACCATCAAACACATTCAAAGAATGGGTTATGTTAGCATCAAACCCATTGATTTCAAGCATCGACCGTCAAAGTTTCTGGTTCACAATAGGCATGGAGATTGACCAGCAACGTGATGGGGATAGCAGCAGGAACGCGGCTTGTTGGGGATGTGTCCAATCACCACGGGTCCAACATGTTGAGATCCAACGGAATCAAGGAATCACAGAAACCGTTTCGAAACATAGAAGAACCACACTGGTGTTCTGTGACAGGTCCATAGTATAGTTACATAGCATATATTAACCATCATCATTAGCCATATATAGTTACAGAGTTATTCACATTCCAAATCGTTTCAACCAACATTTGGCATTAGATTCGAAGCTGATCTGCATCAGATGTCGTCGTTGTTCGGCCAAAAAGCTGGCCCATCCCCATCCTAGGAACGCCATCTTAGAGAAATGGCAGGGAGCAGCACAGCAAAATTTCGAGATTGGAGGGAACCGGAGCCTGCATCCAGTGGTTTTCGTATGGTTTCGTGCTTTCGGTTTTGGCCTTCTTAAATCTTCGTTGAGAACCCGATGGTGATCACCCATGACGGATCCATGGTGCTGCTATATATGGTAACATGGATCCCATCAATATACCCCAGTCATGTTAGCATATATATATATATACCAGCACCATGGATCCGTCATGGGTCATGGTGATCTAAGGATTCCAGACTTGATTCCTCCTGGTTTGCAATACAATCCGGATCTCAGGCTGGCGGCTGGTGCAATGACATGACCTCCCAAAAAAAACGTGAGAACTCGATAATTATATACATGTCATTTTACGTACTTAGGGCTTCGATGATCCAAAATTATCTAAAACTGAATATGAATAGAAGTGAATATATATATATATGTATATATATATATGTACATATCATATATCATATATCATAATAATATATAATAATATATAATAATAATAATAATAAATAAAATAATAATATATACCTAGATCTTCAAACGAGCAAACATTTCTGTACTTATGTACGTTTCAGCTAATCGAGCGGAAATCTCAATTCGAGCACTTTGTGGATCCTCGTGCGTTCTTTGCAGACACCTGGTCCCAACACCATTTGGTTCAAAATGGCTGCTATGCTTCGACCTAGTTTTGGAAAACAAACGGGCATATTTCAGATTTGGGGGCCACTTGTTGGAAATTCATTCAAATTCTTACGAAAATCAGGGCGCAACTTCGGGCGCAAATAAGCGCAAACGGGCGCAAATAAGCGCAACCGGGCGCAAAATAAAAAAGTGCTCTTTTTGATCATCACTTCAGCGGTTTCCTTGAGCACATTTTGAACTTGAGCTTCATTTGGAAACCTGATTTGAAAAATGGCTAATTACTTGGATGTGTGTATGCATGGAATGGAAGCGAGCACATTATTTAACCTCGAGCATCTGACCCTTTAGTTCGTACAGAATTTTCTAAAACGAACGTTTCATACCTCGAGCGGAAAATAGTGTATCAATGGAAGAACCAGGTAATAATAAACAATAAATAATAAATAGTAATAATAATAAATAGTATTAATAATAAGAACTACATAATAAATAATAAATAGTAATAATAATAACAACAACAACAACAATAATGATAATAGTAATAATAGTAATAATAATAGTATATAACCATATGGTCAATGAATTGTGGTCCGAAATTAAGCATCCAGTCAGTGGACAGTCAAGGCACGATGTTTTTCACCAGGGGCTGTAACCTCACCTGGGCCAGCCCATTGAGAGTGGCCCAGTGCACCAGAATTCAGAACATAGATCCTTAACAGTAGGGCCAGATTCTTGTTAGTAATAGGAGATAGGATCCATAATGATCCATATAATAGGGGCCAATAATCAGAGACTCACAAGCTTCCACAAGAGTCCAGCAACTATGAATGTGTTGTTTTCCGTGTTTTTAGACTGGGACCCCATTCTCAAGGTTTCCTTTGTTCAATTTACCTGAGGAGTGACCAAAACTCCCTGTTGACTGGTCATTCTATAGTTGGTTACACTACCTAATTCTCATCAAAATTTCTTCCATCCCCAAGTCACCAACTTGGAAAAATGGGTCGGACCCTGGGTCCCTGGCGTTTCGGACCACGGCCATGGCGCGCCATGGCATCGCTTGGGAGGTCGTACTACGAGGGCGACGGCGCCATGGATCGGATGACCTACGAGGACCGCCCCTTCCGAGCCTTCAGCGACGAGGAGCGCGCCGGGCGACCGGCCTTTCCGTGGCTGGGCCGGAGTTTTGGGTGGGAAATTCGGTGAGATCCACGGGACATGGGAAAAGTTGCATGGATTTTTTCTGGTGTTTAAGGTGTTCAACACCAGGAACGTATATTATAGATGGTTTATTTATCGTGATTTGTGCAACTCCGGTGATGTTGATCAAGGGAAATTAATGGAGATTGAGATCCCAATCTCGGTGATGGCGTCATTGTCATGGCGACCAAGGTTTGAAAACGAAGAACAGGCGTGAGTCGTTTCGATGGCAGTGACAATGCACTGGACAGACGTATTAATGGGAACCTCCGTAGCCGGGATGTTGAAGATACTGTCAATGGGAATTTCAGGATCCTAAAATGGAGGTACTGTACCATCTAAGGCAATATTTTGTGGGGATATTCCCATAGGCCTTATATATTATTTATATATGCCTTATATATGGTAGGTACCTCCAATAAATCGGTTCCTGTTGCATGGCCATTGATCTTGGGCTGCGCTAGGAATCTGACTACGAGCTTGCCTTGAAGTATTTCGAGCGTTGGGATTCAGAACCAGAGGCATCGGCAGACTTGTGACGTGTGAAAAGGACTTTGGCAATGACAAAGAGTCCAAAGCATGGAACTGATTTCTGTAGTCTATATGATAATTACCAGATGGTAAGCATCATATATCATGAAGATCCTTGATCTTAATGGGATCTTAATGAAAATCCCATGAAGATCCCATTAAGATCCCATTAAGATCCCATTAAGATCCCATTAAGATCCCACTAAGATCCCATTAAGATCCCATTAAGATCCCATTAAGATCATATTAAGGTCATGTTAAGGTCATATTAAGATCCGATTAAGATCCCTTTAAGATCCCATTAAGATCATACTAAGGTCATATTAAGATCCCATTAAGATCCCATTAAGATCCCATTAAGATCCCATGAAGATCCCATGAAGATCCCACTAAGATCCCATTAAGATCCCAATAAGATCCCATTAAGATCCCATTAAGATCCCATGAAGATCCCATTAAGATCCCGTTAAGATCCCATGAAGATCCCATTAAGATCCCACTAAGATCCCACTAAGATCCCACTAAGATCCCATTAAGATCCCAATAAGATCCCATTAAGATCCCATTAAGATCCCACCAAGATCCCATTAAGATCCCATTAAGATCCCACTAAGATCCCACTAAGATCCCATTAAGATCCCATCAAGATCCCATGAAGATCCCATTAAGATCCCATTAAGATCCCATTAAGATCCCATTAAGATCCCATTAAGATCTCATTAAAATCCCATTAAGATCCCATGAAGATGCCATTAAGATCCCATTAAGATCCCATTAAGATCCCATTAAGATCCCATTAAGATCCCATTAAGATCCCATAAGATCCCATTAAGATCCCATTAAGATCCCATTAAGATCCCATTAAGATCATACTAAGGTCATATTAAGATCCCATTAAGATACCATTAAGATCCCGTTAAGATCCCATTAAGATCCCATTAAGATCCCACTAAGATCCCACTAAGATCCCATTAAGATCCCATTAAGATCCCATAAGATCCCATTAAGATCCCATTAAGATCCCATTAAGATCATACTAAGGTCATATTAAGATCCCATTAAGATACCATTAAGATCCCGTTAAGATCCCATTAAGATCCCATTAAGATCCCACTAAGATCCCACTAAGATCCCACTAAGATCCCATTAAGATCCCAATAAGATCCCATTAAGATCCCATTAAGATCCCACCAAGATCCCATTAAGATCCCATTAAGATCCCACTAAGATCCCACTAAGATCCCATTAAGATCCCATCAAGATCCCATGAAGATCCCATTAAGATCCCATTAAGATCCCATTAAGATCCCATTAAGATCCCATTAAGATCCCATTAAGATCCCATTAAGATCCCATGAAGATCCCATTAAGATCCCATTAAGATCCCATTAAGATCCCATTAAGATCCCATTAAGATCCCATTAAGATCCCATGAAGATCCCATGAAGATCCCATGAAGATCCCACTAAGATCCCATTAAGATCCCAATAAGATCCCATTAAGATCCCATGAAGATGCCATTAAGATCCCATTAAGATCCCATTAAGATCCCATTAAGACCCCACCAAGATCCCATTAAGCTCCCATTAAGATCCCACTAAGATCCCACTAAGATCCCACTAAGATCCCACTAAGATCCCATTAAGATCCCAATAAGATCCCATTAAGATCCCATTAAGATCCCATTAAGATCCCATGAAGATCCCAATAAGATCCCATTAAGATCCCATTAAGATCCCATGAAGATCCCATGAAGATCCCATTAAGATCCCATTAAGATCCCATTAAGATCCCATTAAGATCCCATGAAGATCCCATTAAGATCCCATTAAGATCCCATGAAGATCCCATGAAGATCCCATGAAGATCCCATGAAGATCCCATTAAGATCCCATCAAGGTCCCATGAAGATCCCATGAAGATCCCATGAAGATCCCATGAAGATCCCATGAAGATCCCATGAACCCTTCTGATGACCAGACACTTTGACCGCAGTGGAAGGGCAGATCAAGTTGCTTCGCATCTTGGTCCTAAGTCTGGTATGTTTCTTGGAACAGTATTGAGGATTACGAGCAAGTTGTGCAACCTTGTTTGTAAGATTGGCAAATTAGGATTGATCCTTGAGTTAGCATTTTGGACTTTGCTTGCACCATTGTCCTTTGCTTTCAGTATCGTTTCCCTGGCAGTGAGCTGTCTTTGCAATATGGAATGCAGTGATGTTGACAAGATTGAAGGCTGGCTTTCCATTGCTCCTGTCCTCAGCTTTTGCGTCTCGTATGTTTGCCTGGTTGTGTTTCCACACGTCTGTTTCGCTGTGGTCTGATCCATTGGATTCACGGACGTGTGCATCATCCAGTCATTATTTCACTGCTTCTCCTGTTGCTGATCTTCAGGGTGGGGCTGGAAATTCCGAGATTGGTTCCAAGAATTGGCTCGACAGTATCTTGTCTGGTTTGGCTGCCCGACATCTTAAACCACCAACGCAACAGGTTAAGATGCTGGTTCAAAATGAAGCCACGTTGACTCGATTGAAGAAGGCTACTGAGCTCAAACAGCAACTTGATATCATTTGTGGTGCGGCGTACAGAGCGCAATTGGGTTGGCAAAAGGTTTCCAGTGACTCTACCGGTTCCTCTATTTCGGGTGCCCAGTCTTCCAACAACACCCCTGTTGGTCCGCCCCCTGAACCCAAAGTTCAAAGTTGGAGGCTTCGGCCTCGGGATTGGCAGTCTGCCAAGCCTGCATCTGCAGCTGAGCCTATCACGGGTGACAGACAGGATGTGTTTCGTACAAATGTTGAAGGGGATCCTTTGCTTCAGGTCTGGTCTCGTGTGTGTGGGGCATATTTTGTTGATCAGTCTGAAGCAGTACGTATCATAAGGTCTATCCCTGCCCATATGCCACCTGCTGGCCTTTTCACCTTGGTCACAGTTGAACCCACGTGTCGGTCGGTCCCTGTCGCTGTTGAAACGGTGGTTCTGTTCCCTGATGGGTCACCTCATTTGAAGAAAGTGTATTTGTCGCACCTTGGCACTGACACTTTGTCCCCGGTTAGTTGGAAGTCTGTTTCGTTGGCAAGTGTTGAAAATGTTGACCTTCTTCTTGAATGGTGGAAAGATTTGTCCGTCGGTCGTGACCTTGAGAAATTCCATGAGTTCCATCGCGCTGCCGAAGAACTTGCAAATCCCAAGCCTAAAGGTTCCGGAAAGGCAAAAGGTAAACAGAAAGGGTCTGGCTCGGGTAAGATGTCAGACAGTTTGGCTGCCAGAATTTCTCAACATATCAAGTCCATGCTCCCGGATTCAGTGGGGAAAATGTTTGTCTCTTTGAAGACTTCCAACCACAATGTGAAATCAGACATCATTCGAGTTTCAATACGGCTTCCCAAATCTGACGCTGTTACATGGCTTGTGAAAGGGGTTTCGCATGATGCCTTGCTTGTTAGAGATCTCACTGACTTTCCTGAAGCCCACGATCTTCGCAAAGTATGGGTCAATGAGGGTTGCCCGATTTTAGACGGCGATTCAATAAGCATCCGTCAAAGTTTGAGTCTCTACCTTGCCGATTTCAAGAGTGGTTGGTCAGTTGTTCGAACACCTTACCGTTGGGGTGTCAGGGTTGATAAGAGTCATGAGCGTGAAGTCATGTCAATTTTGCAACCGCGTTTTGTATATGTCCCAGAAGGCCACAGCAAATACCGTATCGATAATATTCCCAAGGGTGTCGATGCCGAAGCTTTGGTCAAAACCCTGACCTCCGACAACTTCAAACCGTACCTGGTGTCAGTTCATGGGTCCAAGCTTGTCATTGCTGCTCCGAGTGCTCCGCCTGATATCGTGTTTGTCATTAAGGAGATCCAAACCACCTTGTTGCTGCAGCCCGTTCCTCAGGTTTCTCGTTCTTCTTCTGGTACTGTCGGTGTCTCGAATTCTGCTCTCAGGCATTTGGAGGATACCAGTCCCAAACGGAAAACAGCCAAGCCTAATGAGGATACGAGGGGAGGAGGGTTGTTGTCAAACAATCGGTTTGAACTGTTGGGTGCTGATGATGTGGAGTTCCCTGCTTTGCCGTCCAAGTCGGTGCTCCATCCTCCTCACACAAAGCCGGATTGTCTCCCCAATCATGGCAACACTTGCTTTGTTGCTGCTGCCGTCCGTTGTCTTGCCCACATGGTCAATCTTTCCAGTGTTGCAAGTGCTGATGTCCATGATCCCTCTTTGCGTCAGTTGCTTTCTGATTTGTGCCCTTCTGCATGGACGCGTTTCCTCTCTGCACATGGTCTTACCCCAACGAAGCAGAAAGATTCCGTGCTGTTTTTGCAGAAATTGCTTGACACAGAACCTGCCCTTGCTTCCCTTGTGCAGCTTGAAGAGCATATCGCTGTTGAATGTACTGGATGTCAAGAAAGCAAGACTCTTAATGTCTCTTCTCACGTGCTTCGTCTCCCTGCTCCTGAGACGGATCCCTGTACTCTC